CTCACCTTTCCAAACATGATGCATTTCTCCAGGGAAGAACCTCTCCTGGCAACATGCCCAAAGTATGTGAGGTGAAGCCTCATCATCTCCGCCTCCCTGGAGCTCTCTGGCTTCCCCTTCTCGAAGACAAATCTGTTCATTCTTTTGGCAGAACTCTCATTCAATACTTTTCTCCAGCACCGCAGTTTAAAGGCATCGTTTTTACATTTTTATTATTTTAACAAAAGTTTACATAAAAATTAGATTTTCAATCATTCATTATTACACAATTTCCCCCCTCCTTCCCCAGTCCACTTTTCAATGCATCTCTTCTTTTGGACTGTTGTCATACGTATAATGCCTAATCATACATTCCTTTCAGACAGTTCTTCCCCTCCTCTGTTCCAATGCAGTGTTCATAGTCTTTTCCTATTCTCCCCTCAACACCCCGTGTCAATTTGTGACTGAGATATTTCATTCAAAATACTGTCTTCCAGGATCACTCTTGTTGTGTGTTTTATGAGTTCATTATTTTTCAGTGCTGGAGAATATTCCTTTGTGTGACTACTTTGTGTGTTTTTCTATCCATTCTTTTGCTCACGAGCACTTGAGCTGCTTCCTTCGCTTTGCTATTGTGAATAACACAGCAGTAGACGTGTGTGTGTGTGTGTGTGTGTGTGTGTGTGCGCGCGCGCACACACATATCTGTCTGAGTCATGCTCTGGTTTCTTTAGGATATAATCCAAGTAGTGGAATTGCTGGATCAAATGGTATTTCTCTTCCTAACTTTTTGAAAAAGCGCCAGAGCACCTTCCATAGTGATTGTACCATTTTACGTTCCCACTAGCAGTGAATAAGAGTTCCAATCTTTCTCACAACCTTGCAGGATTTGTTTGCTGTCCTGTTTACCGTTGCTGTTGTTGCTGGGGTGAGATGATACCTGATAGTTGTTTTGATTTGTATCTCTCTCATAGATAGTGATTTTGAACATTTCCTCATGTGTTTCTTTGTCATCTGAATGTCATCTTGGGTGAAGTGTCTGTTCATATCTTGTGTCCATTTTGTGACTGGATTGTTTACCTTTTTCTTGTTGATATGCTAGAGTAATCAATAAATTTAGGTAAGGGCCCTTTATCAGATATGTCATTACCAAATATTTTGTCCCACTCTGGGTTTTCTTTTAACTCTATTGGAAAAGTTTTGTTTGTTTGTTTGTTTTTGATGTGCATAAGAGTTTGATTCTTAGAAAATCCCATTGATTTCTTTTATATGAAATTTCTATTTCTTCTATATCCTTTTATAGTCATTTCTTTTATATTCTTCTAGTGGTGTCTTTTTTAATTATGCTTGAAAGTCTGTTTATGCTGTGGATTGGGGCTTCTAGAGTTGTTCCTGGCTTTTCTCTGATGGATTTGATAGTTTTTGGTTTTACTCCTAGGTTCCTGGTCCACCTTGAGTTGGTTTTTGTGTATGGTGTGAGGCCTGGGTCTTACGTTTTCTGCAGATGGTTTTCCAATTTTGCCAACACCATTTGTTAATTTGGCTGCCATTTCCTCATTTTTGTCTCCTTGTCAAAAATCAGTTGACCATAGATAAATGAGCTGATTTCTGGGTTCTCAATTGTATTCCATTGATCTCTGTGGCTGTGTTTGTACCATGGATGGCCAGAAGAGTAGACATGTGTGTCTTAAATGAAGGGCCATCAAGCTGCTCCTTAGACGGAGCTCTGGTGGCCTAGTGGCAAGATGCTGCGCTGCAATCCTGGAGATACGGGTTCGAATCCACCAGATGCTCTGCTGGAGAAGGAGGGGAAATCTCCTCCTGTGCCAGTCAGATCCGATTTGACAACACACAACAAGGGGAAGATAAATAAGAATAATTTTTTAAAATAAGATGCTCCTTATAGGCAAGGGTGATGCTGAGACTTCATCTCAGGTACTCTTTGGGCATATTGTCGGCAAGGACCAGTCCTCGGAGAGAGACATCATGCTCGGAAAGGTAGAGGGTCATCGAAGGAGAGGAAGACCCTCCAGGAGGTTGGTGACTCAGTGACCGTACCGGTGAGCTCCGTCATGGCGGAGATTGTGAGGACAGCATAGGAAATGATGAGGCTCAGATCGGCTTTTGTGAGGGATCCTGTGAGTCAAAGTGATCCAGCAACAGCAGTATAACTTTTATACCACAACCACCACCACCCCAGTTTAGATAAGTGACATCTCTGTTAGGTGCCATTGAGTTGATCCCAATATATGATGTCCCCGTGACGCACAGATCGGAATGATGCCCCATCCTGCGCCGTCCTCGTGAACTCTGCCTGTCATGGGGTCTGCCAAGCTCTCGAGGTTCTTCCTCTCTCACACTGACCCCCAGCTTTTCCTGGTTACACACCCAAGCTATGTGAGAAGTGACACCATCCTTGTTTCTACCAGTCAAAGTTTTATAGGCAGGACAGCTCAGTCCAGAGTGGGACTCCCCCTCATACAGCTGCCTGGTAAACCAGTTGTCATGGAGCCATTTTTCAACTCCTGGTAACCCCTGTGTGTCCAGAGCAGAGCTGTGCACCATGGATTTTTGAGGGTCGATTTTCACACCACCAGACCATTCCTCCAGGGTGCATCTGCTGGACTAGAACCACTGAACCTGGGACTGCTGTCTGAATGGTAGAACAGAAGCAGAGCCGGCGCTCTGAACATGGTGGTGCTCTCTGCACCGAAGACTGAGCGGGAAGCTATCTCAGACCTCAAGGTGTATGTGTGTATACTGTTTGTGTGGGAGTGTTGCTGGCTGGAGAAAGTAAGAGGGCACTCCCTGCTACCCAGGCATGGAGCACAGTCTTGGAAGGACCTGCAGAGAGAGCCTGAAATCTACTCACAGTTGGACTTAAAAACTACACCTTAAGAGAAGATTCCACAAATGTTCAAGTCAATGAAGGATAAAACATCTTCTCTGACAACTGTTTGATGGTATTTTGAGCCTGAAATGAAGAGTGTCATTTGCATATTTCTGGGATAATGTGCATCTGTGTATCCAGCGGAACGAGCCTTTGTTCAGATCAGATGCGTGCTAAACTTGCCTAATATGATAATTAACTGTTCTGTAGTATCACTCACATAGAATTTTGATACAATGCTAACATCTAAAAGACTGAAGTGATTATTAAGTTTTTCAGACTAAATCAGAGGGTGATTATTTCAAAGAGGGACAGATTTTCATAATGATGATTTTTCTCCTGTTCATGTGGTGCAGTGGTTAGGGAATCGCAGTGCAAACACAAAGGTGTGCGGTTCGAATCCAGAAGCTACTCCTTTTAGTTATTTATTATTTTAAAGAATAATCCATTTATTTTGGTCTCACATGCATCTATTCACAGACATACAGATTCACATACTGCAAACGGTCTCAACCAGGACAGAAACTTAACTCATAACCGCGGAGTCAGAACCAACTCAGAGCCGAGCCTCCAGCTACCTTTGCAGCCTATTTTCTTCTGTGGAGCCAATGATGGCTTTGAACTACCTACCTTTGAGTTGACAGCGCAACTCATTACCCACTAGGCCAGTAGAACTGCTGTTTTCTCACTGTTGTGTTTTTTTTTTTTCTAAAAAATATTTTCCCCTCCACTTTCCTTCATTGACATTATGTTTATACTTGAATTCCCACAGATTGTGTTTTATAAAGTGAATCACCATTGGACTGTGCCCACCATTCCCCGGCCTTTCCAGGTCCCTGCCTGATCCTTCCCATTTCCTTCACACCCTCCCTCCACCCACCAAACTGTGCAGCCCTGTGGTTTTGACCCCGCTCATCCTCACCCTTGAGGCCTCACCCATTACGCCCTTGAACCCCCACTCATGTTTTACTAGTTACCCTTCTATTTTTACAATAATAGTCTTATCTAATATTTGTTCTTCTGAGACTGAGTGAGTTCACTCAGCATAATGCTCTCCCGTCCCTCCCAAGTTATGTAGTGTTTTTGTTTTAAATCGTTGCTCAGAGCGGCATTGTATTCCATCGTGTGAATGTACCACAGCTTCTCAGTCCATTTGGTTGTGGTGGGACATTTAGGCTGTCTCCATGTTCTCAGTAGCTATTATTATTTTTTTTATTATTTTAATAATTTTAACGAACATTTACAGAGGTTCTTTTTATTTCCATTTGTTCATTGTTGGTTGATCTTTTCTCTCTGCCCAGCCCTCCCCTCCGCGCCCCCCCCATCGCTCCTCTCTTTGAAAAGTAAAAGAAAAATTCTTTCTTTCGTATACAATCCCCCCGCACCCCTCCCACTGCCCCAAGTACACTCCACTATGCAACCTTAATTGTGGACTCTTGTGATAACTATAACACCCTATCATATATTGCTTTTAAATTAAATTATTCTCTCCCTCATCTGTTTCAATGCAGTATACACAATTTATCCAGTTTTTCTCAGTCTTACCCCAACCCTGATGTCAGTCCCGTTCTACAGCAGTGGCACCATGCAGTATTTGGCCTTTTTTAGCAGCTACTCTTAAGAAGAAAGCTGGGCAGTCTCCTCCTGTGTGAGTTACCCGTGAAAACCCACTGGAGTATCAATTATGAGTTGCTTCTGACTCAGTAGCAACGAGGGGTTTTTTTTTAATAGAAAACTATGTCCTGCCATGAAAATATATAGCTATTCTAGGTACCAGCCACTCCACAGGAGTGAGATGGGCAGTCTCCTGTGCAGTTTACGGCCTCTCAAAACCCACCTCAGGGTCAGCTATGGCTTGGTTCTGACTCATTATGATACACACCAGCAACCGCACCAACAAGGTAAGATCAGAGAGTGGTCCCTTTTAAAATGAAATAGATCAAAAAAGATAGAGGGAGTATCCTATCCGTGTATAGAAACAAAAATCGCACAGAACAGGGTGTGGAATTGCTTCTCCACCAGCAGAACCGTTGAAGGTGTTTTCCTAGAACCTCGGATGATCTCTTTCAGCACTGTGTCAGTGGTGAGATGTGTGTGCGTCCGCTCACTCCTCTCCTGTTGGCTTTGCCAGGCCTCTCGATCCGGAGCGTGTGCTGGAAGGCCGACCGCCTGCTGGCGGGGACACAGGACAGCGAGATATTCGAGGTGATCGTCAGGGAGCGGGACAAGCCCATGTTGATCCTGCAGGGCCACTGTGAGGGGGAGCTCTGGGCCCTGGCCCTGCACCCCAAGAAGCCGCTGGCCGTGACAGGCAGTGACGACCGCTCCGTCAGGTGAGGCCCTGCCACCTTGCTGATGGCCTTGGGGAACACAGTGAGGTCGCCCACACTTGCTGCTTCCTCCAGAGAAGGGTGAGCTGCGGCGTACAACCGCGTGGCTTCTCTAAGGGACAGTTCCTCCGTTTACCTCAGCAGAGCTGGGCTCCTGCATATTGTTGCCATTTCTCTTGGGCTCTGTCTTACGTCCTCAGAGGTGAAAATAGACTGTATGTGAGGGGGCCGTGCCCCCTGGCACCCTGTTCCTCTGCTGGGGACCCCACCATGGTTTTACAGGTGAATTCAGTCAGCACCAGCACAGCTTCAGTTCCAACTCACAAACGTGTCTTCAGAACGCAGGGAATTTATTCCTTTGCAAATTCTCAGGGTTCTTTGAACACTGTCCTCAAACCAAGGACCACAATTGCAACTCAACACGAACACCCTTACTTGTACCTTTACCTGCTCAGTTCTGGTTGGCTCGGTTCAAAGGCCTGTATTAGGTCCTCTGGGAGCTGGCCTGCAGCAGGCATCCCTAGAAGCAGAATGGTTGATGTTACAGGAAAAATGAGAAATGACTCACGATGTATTATAAGCACAAGAGAGCTCTTACCTTCTTTGTTGGGTAAACCAATACTAAGTAGAAAATACTCAGATGAAACCCACAGACACAGTCCCATTTGCAGTATTGGGACCTAGTTATTGAGAGGGTCTGTGTGAGTCATGGTCAGCTCTCCTCCTCCTCCTCCTCCTCCTCCTCTTCCTCCTCTTCCACCACCACCACCATCACCACCACACTTTTTGATCTCCTAAGTGTAGATAAAGTTAACAACCAGTGGCATCAGTAAAGATCAGTTTTAAATGTCCAAAGAGAAAATGAAGATTTTTGTGAATTCGTATTTAAAGTTTATTTCAAGATTTTTGTCAATTTTTCTTTTCATTTTCTCTTTTTCTAATTGGTTGTTTCAAATGGTGAGAACAGCTCACAAAAGGACCAACAGCTTCCCCAATTCCCGTGAAGGATGTTGGTGGAATGCTGACTAAGTTATGCTGTCCGTTCTCGTTAATAACGGAGTGTGGTCAGCAGCTCTTGCTTTGGCCTGACCTGTGACTGGGAGCCATTGCCTTTTTTTTTTAAACCTTTTTTCTTATTCCCAGACTCTGGAGCCTGGCTGACCACGCCTTGATCGCCCGCTGTAACATGGAGGAAGCTGTCCGCAGCGTCGCGTTCAGCCCCGATGGATCCCAGTTGGCCCTGGGCATGAAGGATGGCTCTTTCATCGTCCTCCGGGTCAGGCACGTACCAACATTGCACACATCATTCACGATGCTCTGCTGGTGAAGTGAAAACTATCCTGGTCCTCATGTCTTCCAGGATCTTAGGAAAAACAGCTACTCTTTTACTCATTCAAGTCGGAATACCGTGATTCACAGTCTCCTTTCTGTAACTCAGAAATCCAAAGCACTCTAAAAGGTCCATACTGCATGGTGCCACTGTTGTGAAACTGGACTGACATTGAGGTTGGAGGGTGACTGAGAATGAAGGGATAAATCGTGTATACTGCATTGAAACAGAAGAGGGAGGGAAATGTTTGAAAGGGATATATGATTAGAATGAAGGCCACACAGCGGAGTGGACTTGGGGGGAGGGATTGTATAATAGTGAAAGAGTTTTTCTTTGACTTTTCAAATAGAAGAGCAAATTAGGGCGAAGGGGTGGTCAGGGAGAAAAGTGCAACAATGGAAATCCAAAGTCTCTGTAAACTTTTATTAAAATTAATTTTTAAAAAGGGGAGGGAAGGTCCATATTTTCTGGTAACTGTTTTGACAGCCTAGCCTATTACTCAATGAACTGAGGTGAGTTTGTTCATAATCTGTTAATCCCTTAGGAAGAATCACAGGGCACGTGTTTCACTGGAAATAAACCAAAAAACTAAACAACAAAAACCAACAACAACAAAAAAACCCAAATAAAATAAATCATAATAAATAACGACTCTACTTGGGGATGTTCCATAATATACTTGATGTGAAAATTCCCAATACCTAATAAGCAATGAACTCTTGAACACATCCAGACCCCAAGAGTTTTAGATCAGAGCGAGTGGACTTGTAGTAAGCCAGGAAGGTCCCTGGAGGGTGCGAACAGTTACCATGCACAGTTGCTAACCAAAAGCTTGACATTCTGAGTCCCTCATGAGGTCCCTAGCAAGAAAGGCGTACCAGTGAACCTCTGAAACGTCAGCCCTTGAGAACCCTGACAGCGGAATCTGCCCTGACCCACGCTGGCTCTCTTTGAGTTGTCATTGACTTGATCACAATTGGTCCTGATGCTGGTAGTAAGAAACTGAGGAGGAAAGAATAAAGCTTCCAACAACTACTCATTTTTATAACTGAGTGTGACGAAGAGATTCTCTCCCATAAATGGCAGTAAAATAGAATATTTCTTATTTAGGCATGATGTTTTCGTTGTTGATTGCCTTCGAGTCGAGCATGACTCAAAGCAACCCTATGAACAAAAGGCCTGAAGCCCCTCGACAACCATCGACATTCATCAAAGTTCAGAGAGTTTCCAGAGGCAAGTTGTTTAGGAAGTGGATGCCACTCCATCTACGAATAATCCTTCATTGTCTTTACTAGACAAATAGTCTGACCCGTCTTATGATTTGGACATTCCTCCAAATGTCTTCTTTTTCTCTTGACTCGTAGACTTGGTGATTCCAGAAAGGAAGTGCAGCCATCTATTATATATTGTGTGCTTTGCACACAGAAAATGTCCCTATTGTGTTGAAAAGGCTTTTGTTTCTTCCACTATTGCTTCATCCCCAGTCACATGTAACTCGTTACTGGAATTGGTATGCAGGATTTTATTTGATTAGTGGTGTGTGAAATATCTAATTATCAGATTTATTCAATGATGAATTTCCTACAAGGAAAAAAATTCCCACACGTCTGTTGTGTGACATTATGGTAACTATGGTGCTATTAATGAATGATAGCAATTGTGAGGTGTTATTATGTGAAAGGAAATATGTGACATTGTTTATGCATCGTTTATTTTAGAGGTGATAAAGACATCTTTCTTGGTTGAGGGGACTTGTGGTCACGGTCAGTTGTAGGGAAAAATTCCACTTCTGAGCTTTTGAGTGAGAACAGAAATTATTCTCAGACTCTGATCAGAAAGACTACAGAATATTCAGATGATGTAGTGTATGTATGACTGACTTTTCAAAGGGAAATTAAATAATTACAAAGCAATCTCACATTTAAAAACCAATTTTTCTCTTCTGCTTTGCTCTTTTTACAGCTATTAACATCTGATTTAACGCTCACTGATCTCTTACTCTTAAAGTATAAAAGAGAAGGTTTGTTTTTCATGCTATCATTGATATATTTTGCCTTTTTTCCGTGGCATATTTTGAAAACAGCCTTACAAACAACAGCACTTGCTTTATTTTAAAGAGTTGGGTATTTTTTTTTAAAAAAAACAACAAAAAACACAACCAAACAATTTTTGTTTCATTTCTACTTTGTAAGCTCAAAAAATTATTTTAAAGTTTTGTCATTGTTTTTCTAGAAACATTCATCATTTTATTCCTGACACACACACACACACACACACACACACACACACACACACTCTCTCACACACTGTTGCAAGCTTGGCTTCGATGTTCTGTATTTCTGGACTCACTGCTTGTTGCTTTGTCTTTCCTCAGGGATATGACTGAAGTGGTCCACATCAAAGACCGGAAAGAAGTCATTCACGAGATGAAGTTTTCTCCAGACGGGTCTTACCTCGCAGTGGGGTCCAACGATGGCCCAGTAGACGTCTATGCAGTTGCACAGCGATATAAGAAAATCGGAGAGTGCAGCAAGTCCCTCAGCTTCATCACCCACATCGACTGGTCTTTGGATAGCAAGTACTTGCAAACTAATGATGGGGCAGGAGAGAGACTCTTCTACAAGATGCCGTGTAAGTTGTAACGGCAGAGAGGGCTCATCAGAGCCGTTTTCGATGGTAAAATATTTACAGGAGGAAAAAAATCTTTGAACCACACAAAAGAAAATATATGAGCATGTAGTTATGACTTTGGTAGAGCTCCCCAATTAAAACAAGCTTGGAAGCAGGAGTGTGATCCACTTCCGAAATAGCTTGCTTCTGGAAACCGTGTGAAGCTGGAGAAAGGACGAAAGTTATACAGGTGTTCAGGTCTTTTGTTCATAGGGTCACTATGAGTCACTTACGACTCGACGGCACTTAACAACAACAACAGTAATGACTTCGAGATAAGGAATGTTTTCTGAAATAAGATCCTAAAATCACAACAGAAATCACATATCCTTAAGGAAAAGCTGAAAAGTAAGGGCAGTTGTAAGGAAAACAAGGATCACATAGAAATGGCCGTATCTGAAGCATTCCACCAACTCCACCAGGGGGAACTGTCCCCATCAGCAACATCCATGCATGAAACCAGTTCCCACAAGGTCAGACACATCCCCCACACTCCTGCACCTTTTCCTACTCTTCCCAACACCAACTTACTACTCTTCTGGGTCCAAAATCCTTTGTGATAGCTCACAGACCACGATGGAGCATATTAGGGAAGTCAGAAGGCCTTCATTCAGATTAGTGCCAGATACTTGCTCAGTGAGGACAGCTGCTGAATGACCTCACAGGCTCCTCAGCCTTTAGCCTCACCACATCTGTAGGCCAGTGTTAGAAAACTCTTAGTCCTGGAAAAAAACCAAAGCTCTTCATCCTGCCAATTGTGGTCTCTCCTGCCCCAGGCGTCCAGCAAACTTGGGCCAAAGCTCTTAGCTATGATTCCACAGAGTAGCAGCCCCAAGGCCAGCTCTGCCTCATGTGAGGTTCACTGGTTTTCTGCTTCAGCTACTACTGCTCCTAGAAGCCCCAGTCTGAGCAGCATAGCAAACTTTTAAACAATTGGAAGTATTGGAAGTAACAATCTATTTCGTTCATTATCCAGTCAGTCCTTTGAGTTGTCTGTTACTCCCTTGTTAACTGGCTCCTCTTTGCCCATTTCATTGGTCATTAATACATCTTGTAAGGTTTCAATAAATAAATGATGATAGGAATAACCATAATGCTAGCTTTGTTGGTGTCTTGCCCCACACCGTTCTGCTGTAGAAGTTAGTGAATGAAAACAGATGAGAAGTATCAGTGGGATCTAGCTAGCAGCACAAGAAATATTCTTATCATAATCCAGATACAGTCTCATTATGTAAATTGATTTCTGCCGGAGTTCAAAAGGAACAAATTCATCAAAACCAACATTCGAAAGGATGATCCTGAAGAATGAAAAGCTATTTAGAGTCAGGTTGGAAATTCAAGTAGCATCTTGAGATTTTTTTTTGTCTGTCTGTACGGTGACAGCTTCCTTCTCATTCCTGTGTTCTTCATCATCAGAGGCTTTTCTTAGAGCTGTTGAGTCCATCGAGTTGGTTCTGACTCATAGCAGTTCTGTAGAGCAGAGTGGAATGCTGCCCAGTCCGGCCCATCCCCACAGTGGTTCCGAGTTTGAGCCTAATTTTGCAGCCACTCTGTCAATCCGTCTCATTTTTGGTGACCCTCTACTTCCCGAGCATGATGTCTTTCTCCAGGGGCTGACCTCTCCATCGTGGGGTGAAGTTTTGCCATCTTCGGTTCGTGGAGCCTTGTGCCTGTACTTCCTCTGGATATGTCTATTGGTTCTTCTAGCAGCTTGTGCTATGGTTAATATTAATTGCCAATGCGATTCTGCAAGACATCAAGTCGTCTTCAGTCTTCTTCATTCATCGTCCAGTTTTCACATAAGTATGAAGCAGTTGAAAATGCCATGGCTTGGGCTAGGCACACCTTAGTGAAAACCAAAGTGGCGTATTGCTCTTTAACTTTGCAAAGGTCCTTTGTAGAAGATTTGTCCAATGTAGCATGTCATTTGGGTTTTTTGATATAAAAATTTTCTTTTATACTAATTTACTTAACAAAGTTCATATACGTTGTTTTCCACCCCAGATCTTGACTGCTGATTGCATGGTTGTTGATTGTGGATCCAAGTAAAATGAAATCCTTGACAACTTAATCATTTTTTGTTTCTTATTTATCATGATACTGTTTATTAGTATAGTTGTAAGGGTTTCTTTTTCCTTTTTATTAATGTGTAATCCATGCTGAAGGCTGCAATCTTTTCTTCAGTAAGTGCTTTAAATCGTCTTTGCTTGCGTTGATTGATTGATCTTCATATCAAAGATTGTTAGTGATTCTTCTCCATTGAATCATGATACCACTGTCACCTTTGTATAATCCAGCTTCTGCTCAGCATACAGACTGAATAATTACCGTGGAAAGGTGTAACAGAGGCACACCTTTCCTGATTGTAAACCAGGCAGCGTCCCCTTGTTCTGTTTGAATTACTGTCCCTTGGCTTATGTACAAGTTCCACATGAGCACAATTAAATGCTCTGGAACCCCTGTTCTTTGTAGTGTTACCCACAGTCTGTTATTATCTGCAAAGTCAAGTGCCTCTTCATGATTAATAAAACATATGTAAACATCTTTCTCATCTTCCCGGCTTCCGCTAAGATTCAGCAGTTAACAGCACTTAGAGGTCATATCATTATTGTGCTTCTGATTCCAACTTGAGTTTCTGGCAGTTCCCTGTTGATATTAAGCTGCAGCCTTTTCTGAATTATTTTTAGTAAGGTTTCACTTGCATGTGATATACATGGTATTTTTTTTCTATAATTATATTTTATTAATTTTCATAAACATTTACAGAGATTTTGGGTTTCCATTCATTCATTGTTGCACTAGATATACATGGTATTGATCAGTAACTACCACATACAGTTGGATCATCTTTCTATGTAGCAGGCGTAAATATGGACCCTTGTTCTAGATCAAACATGTTGGTTGAAATATCTCAATTGGTATTTCATGCACTTCTGGAGCCTTTTTTTTGCACCAGCAGTTCCAGTGCAGTGTAGACTTCTTCCTTCAGTAACTTCCCTTCTGGATCATATGCTGCCTCCTGAAATGTTTGAACATCAACCAGTTCTTTTTGGAGAGATTTTGTGTGCTCCTTTCATCACCTTCTGATGCTTTGCATGTTACTCCTTATTTGCTCACAGAGTCCTTCACTACCGTTCTACTGATTGTCATTGATTCTGACTCATCAGCCCACAAATTTCTCTGTAAGGTTTTTCAAAGCTTTAGGAAGGCAGCCTGCCACATCTTTCTCCTTAAGAGCAGCTAGTAGGTTTGAACCAAGGACTTTGTGTTACCGGCCAGCTGTTTAAACACTGAACCACAAGATCTCTTTGAAGGTCCCATTGTAGGTACTTATTTCTTGGCCTCTGTGTGCCATGATTCCATATATACTTTGCCAAATGTGGGAAAATAGGGAACACGCATTGGTCATTTACAGTAACAACTATTCACACATCTTGCTCAGTGATAACAACCTTTTCTATTTAATTTGGATGTGAACTCAGTGGATGCAAATTATAACAGCTCACTGCTGGTTTCCGGAGATAACTTTGGACTGGTTAAATTGCTCAGATTTCCTTGTTTCAAGAAAGGTAATTTGCTTTCTCATTCTCCTGCTATTGGGAATTTGGGACTGACTTTTCATTTCTTTGCTAGTACAGTTCTAATATCTTTGCAATGGATAGGTTTTTCCACTCTTCTGTCAGAGACCTCTCCAAAGTACTGAAAAGCAACGATGTCAGTCTGGAGACTAAGGTGCACCTGATCCAGGCCAGGGTCTTTGCAATTACTTACTATGCATCAGAGAACTGGATAGTGACTAGGGATGATAGGAGAGTTGATGCCTTTGAGCTGTGGTGCTGGAAAAGAGTGTTGAATATACCATGGACTGCTAAGAGAACAAACAAGTTTGTCTTGGAGAGGGTGAAGCCAGGATGTTCCTTGGAGGCAAGGATTCTGAAGCTCCATCTGACATACTTTGGACATGTTGCAAGGCGGGACCAGTCCCTGGAGAGGGACATCATGCTTGGAAGACTGGAGGGACAGCGCAGGAGAGGAAGACCCTCGATGAGATGGATTGATTCCGTCACTGGGGTAATGGGGGTGCGAGTGTCAGAGACAATAATATTGGCAAGACATAGAGAAGGATTTAGGGCTGTTGAACATAGGGTCTCTATGAGTTGCAGGTGACTCGATGGCACATAAAAATAACAGTCACTTCTTTGGTTTGTATTCTCCAAATTTAGAACACTGGGTCAAAAAAGGAGCATTTGGACTTTATAAACTCTCTGATTTTGTGGCCTTTTATTGCTTTTTCAGGGGGGCGTGTATTATAAGCCAGAGCTCCTGGCTATCACGTTTACAATGGGCCAGTAATATATAAGGGCATCTATTTTCACAGATACTTTATTTGAAATATACTCGTTTCTTTATTTTGAGGGTGCAGGTTTGAGACACTACACGTAATTGTCCAGACTCTTAAAGTTTTAAATTGTACGTGATTTAACGCACATTCTTTGTTGTCTGTGTGTTCTCTGTATGTTACCCTCAGTGGCTACCAAAGGACCCTGGGCATTGTCTAACATTTGAAAACAAACCCAGAAAATTGAGAGGTTATTCTTCTCCTCTCTGATGCACTTATTCCTTCATAATTTGGTGGCTTGTCATCATCCCTCATGTTTTTATTATAATGCATTAATTTTCTGAGTCTGGATCTCAAGCATCAGTTTCTAAGCCTCTTAGATTACAAAAGACAGAAGTTCAGAATACACTTAACCAGACTTTTTCAAGCATGATAAAAATACTGATTAAACATGTAATTTAAAGTTATTTCATCAGTAATATAAAGCCTAGTGTCACCATAAGAAATGACATATGTAGGGAGTTGTGCTGTTAACCCAAAGGCAGCACTTCTGGGGGTTCAAAATCACCAGCAGCTCTGCAGGAGAAAAATGGGCATTCTCCTTCCATGCAGTTTAAAGTCTCAAAAAACACACTGGAGGGTCAGTTATGAGTGACCTCTAGCTCAAGGGCAATGAGTTTATGATTTTCACATCATCTGTATAGAAATAACCAAGGCCAAGTACACACTGGCAGTTTGAGATACAGGACCCTTAGTGTTTTATTTCTGTTACGTCTGAATTCAAATATATGCTTTCAGATCAACATGCAGCAAATAAGATCACAAACGGGGTAGACAGTAAGGTCTGTGATTTTCTTTGGTTTGCAGAAGTTTTTTAACAAGTCGGCTCCCAGACTTCTTTAAGAGGAAAACATGGAATAAAAACTTAGAGTATACATTCATTTTAAATATCATATCATAAATATCATTAATAAAATATGATGTTGTTGTTATGTTCCGTTGAGAGCCCTAAACCCTGCTCTATCCCGTGCCTACCTCAATGTCTCCAACACACCTACTCCCATTACCCCAGTTACTGAATCAATCCAAATCATAGAAGGTCTTCCTCTCTTGTACTGTCCCTCCACCCCCCCAAAATATGATGTCTCTCTTCAAGGACTGGTCTCTACTTGGCAACATGCCCAAAGTATGTCAGATGAAGTGTCAGAATCCTTGCATCCAAGGAGCAGCCTGGTTTCACCCTCTCCTGGACAAACCTGTTTGTTCTCATAACATAACATAACATAACATAACATAACATAACATAACAAACATAACAGCATAGCATAACATAACAACAACATAACATAACAATCCTTATTAATTCTTTCCAGCTGGGAAGCCTTTAACAAGTAAAGAAGAAATCAAAGGGATTCTCTGGGCCTCCTGGACATGTGTGAAAGGGCCCGAAGTGAGTGGAATTTGGCCCAAATACACCGACGTGACAGATGTGAACTCAGTGGATGCAAATTACAACAGCTCAGTCCTGGTGTCCGGAGATGACTTTGGAATGGTTAAACTGTTCAAATTTCCTTGTCTCAAGAAAGGTACAGCCAGCAGAGAGGTTTTATTCAATAATAGATTTTTTTCTTCTTGCGTTTGCATGCAGTATATAGTTAAGGTTTATTTTCTTGACACTGATCTCTGCAAGCTTTTCATTTTACCGTCTATATTCCTGGTTTCTGTTTAACGTTTCAATATAAAATGTTCTGCTGATGTCTTCTACTTTTGATAACCTAGAGTAAGTGCAATCACAAAGCTAAGTTGGTGTTTATTAATAAGCCTTCACTCACTTGGTAGTGCAGAAGCCTTGTGTCATGGTTCACGTTTCAAACAAGTTGTGATTTTTAAAAAAAAAAAATTTATATTGACATAAATAAATAGTAATTTGGATGACTTAAAAATATTACATCAATGTTATCATTGATGGATAGCTAGTAAGACATAATTGTATTTTTATGATTAAAAAAGTTATCATTGAAATTATCTTAGGCCTCACAGAGATCTTGCGCTTACACACAGAGGAGCAAATAGAACCTTTCAGATTTATTTAGAATAAGATCTGAAGGCTGCCAATCCAGTGGTAACCCTGTTTATGTTGTGTTAGCGGCTGACAAGGTGGCTGTAGCTCGTAGTGACCCTGTGAACGACCTTGCCCTAAACGACATCATCCTTGCAGTCTCTGCTGCGCTGAATCCCACAGTGGAGTCACTGGGTTAATCCATTTCATGGTGGGTCCTCCTCTCTTTTGTCAACCTTCTACCTTCTCAGCATGCTGTGTATCTCCAAAGACTGGTTCCTCCTGGCAACATCCCCACGTCGTTTATCCTCTAAGGAGCATGCTGGTTACACTTCTTTCAAGACATATTTGTTTGGGTTTTTTTGGCAGCTTATGGGATATCCAGTACTCTTCACCAACATCCTAATTCAAAGGTATTGATGATTTTCTTCTGTCATCCTTAGTCATTGTCTAACTTTCAGCTGCATAGAAAGCAGTTGAAAAGGACTGTGACTTGGATTAGGCCCCTCTTGGACTTTAAACTGGCAGCTGTCCTCTTTAGAACTTTGGAGAAGGTCCTGGACAGCCGATTTCCCCCAGTATATCACATTTTTTTGATTCCTTGACTGCTGATACTGTAAGTGATGGTTACATATACAAATTAAATAAACTCCTTAACAACTTCAATCTTTGTCTATTATGATGTTGACTACTGGTTCAGTGATAAGGGTTTTTATTTTGGTGATGTTGAGGTATATAATTCATATTGCAGGCTATATAGTCTTTGATCTTCTGCAGCAAGTGCTTCAAGTCTTCGCTTTCTGCAGACAAACTTGTGTCATCCGCATAATGCAGGATGTTGATGAGTCTTTCTCCAACCCTGATGCCACTTTCTTCTTTATGTAGTCCAGTCTCTTGAATGATTTGCTTAGCATATAATCTTGTATGTAGTTTGCATGCCACTCATAGTGCTTCCTGTGCTTCCGGAAATGGGACAGTGAATAAGGATGACAGAAGAATGAGTGTTTGAATTGTGGAGCTGGGGAGGAGTACTGACTATCGCTGGACAGCCAAAAGAACAAACAAGTCTGTCCTGGAAGCAGTGCAACCAGAGTGCTGCAAATAGGGAAAAATGATGGCATTTTTGTCTCACTTATTTGGGACATGTTGCCAGAAAGGGTCAAACTGTGGGAAAAGATACGATGCTGGGAAAATAGAGGGTCAGAGAAAGAGTGCAAGACCCTTCACAAGACGGACTGACAAAGTGACTAACCAAAGACTTGAGGACACCATAGATTGTGACAGTGGTCAGCATAGGGCATGGTTCAGATTCATTGTTCATAGGACAATATTGTAACGCTGTTTGCAAGACAAATGGGTGGGACTAGTGATGTTTGATTTAAAAAACACCTTCCTGTCCTCCATTCTTGTGTGGTATTGTTACTTGTGGTGTTGTTACTTTGTATTATTTATTTTTGTTTAAATCCTGTTACTTCGATTAGGAAGCATCTCAGATTTTGTAGAATTTCCCTGACTCAGCCATGGTGTGGAGACTTGGTTGAGACTCCCCAACTAATCCCTGGATTCCTGATTTTAATAAAATAATCCTGCAGGACATGGCTGCTGCCTGGAAACGGTTTCCCTTGAATGATTTTTAGATTAAGCAGCGGAAGGGTTGAAAATGTAATCAGGACGTTATATTCTGTTAACTAGTGGTTTTGGGGCACTGGCAATTAGGGTACAGAATTGAACAGAAAATAGAAAATAAAGTCACCATCGTTTACACTACACTTGGCAAAAAATGGCCATTAGTTTAAAACGCGTGAGGCACAAGATTGCCTCCGTGTTCCAAATTCAAGTTTCCTCTCTGTCTCTAATGAGCCCGGAAAGAAATAGGACATTGTATTAAACAGAGTCATGCACTTGCAGAAAACAAGTTAGGCAACCAGAAAGCATCTAGTTCAGAATTCAGAAGGGTTAGAAGCATCACCATTGATCTCAAGTGTCAGAACTTGGGAACGAAGTTAACTTAATGTAAGAGTTACTTTTTCATTAATAGGGCTGTAAGAGGCCTGCTGTTTCAGAAGGGAATGACCAGTAGTCCTTCATCGTTGGTGGTAGGTGTTGTCAAGTCAAGTACAACTCATAGCTACCCTGTGAACAGCTGACCTGAACACTGCCCTATCCTGTTCTAGCCTAATCATCTCTGACACTCTAGAGCCCACTGCTGAAGTCACCATGTCAGTCTGTCTCGTTGAGGGTCTTCCTCTCCCTCACTGACCCTTCATCTTTCTAACCATGATGCCCTAGCTACAGACTCAGAGTGTGAGAGACCAAGCTTCACTATCTTTGTCCCCAAGGAGAACTCTGGCTGCACTTTTTTCTCTGTCTTAATCTAGGAGTTCTGCTTTAGTACGGCATCTGACAGACAAGCACTGTACCCAGAAGAACAGATGATGGACAAGCAAACTCATAAGTATCTAAGATAATAAGAGCAGTAGGATGAAAAAACACTTCCCCAGTGCAAGAAAAGTATAGATAAATGATATACCTTCGAGAAAAACGTAAGGACAGTTGAGCACACAGATAAAAAGATCTAGGTGGCAAGAGCCCCATGTCAAGGTAGCGGTGCAAGGCCTGACAGTGTGGCTGGTGCATCAGGTCAGCCCAGCAGTGCTGAGTCACCTCAGCAGCAAGGCGATCATGAGGTCTGGTGGTTGCCAGAGGGCCCCCTTCCAGTGGTGACCAGTGCACTGGATGTCCTCCTCATCAGGTTGTGCCAAGAAATCTGGAGGGAAGCCACCTTGCCAACTGACTGGAAGAGAGAGAGGTCCATATTTGTTCACATTCCCCAAAAAAGGTGATCCAACAGAGTGTGGAAATTATTGAACAACATCACAAATATCACGTGGAAGAAAAAGCTTGCTGAAGATAAAAAAAAAATTACAGAGCACATTGACAGAGAACTGCCAGAATACTAGCTGAGTTTAGAAGAGGCTGTAGCACTAGGGATATCATTGCTGATGTCAGATGGATCCTGGCTGAAAGCACAGGGTTCCAGAAGAATGTTTGTATTTTATCGACTATGCAAAGGCATTTGACAACAGATTGTGGCTAACATTGAGAAGAATGGGAATCCCAGAACACTAGATTGTGCTCATGTAAAACTATACCTAGACCGAGAAGCTGTTGTCTGAACAGAGCAAGGGAGTGCTACATAGTTCAAAAGCAAGAAATAAGTGCATCAGGGATAGATCCTTCCCCCAATACCTTTTAAATCTAGATGCTGAACAGATCATTCAGGAAGCTGGACTTCATGAAGAAGAATGTGACATCAGGATTTCGAGAAAGACTCGTCAAAACCTCCATAATGCAGATGACCGAACTTTGTTTGCTAAAACTCAGAAGGGCTTGAGGCACTCGCTACAGAAGATGGACTGTAACCATCAGTATGGATTGCTACTCAACATCAAGAAAAAAATCCTCAAAACCAGGTCAACAGACCGCATCACACTAGATGGAGAAATTATTGAACTTGTTAACAGTTTGATCTTGCTTGAATCCACAGTTAACACCCTTGGCACCAGCAGTGAGGAAATCAAAAGGCGAGTTGCACTGGGAAAGTGTGCTGTTAAGGACCTCTCCAGAGTTTTAAAGAGCAAAGATGTCAGTCTAAACACAAAGGTGCTGTTTAGTGTGCATCTTATAGCTGGACAGTGACTAAGGATGGAAGAAAAAGAATTGATGCTTTTGAGTTGTGGTGCTGGACAAAAGTACTGAACAGCCTATGGACTGCCAAGAGAACAAACACGTCTGTCTGGGAGAGGGTGAAACTAGGTTGCTCCTTGGAAGCAAGAATTTCAAAGCTCCATCTCACATACATTGGGCATATTGTCAGAAGGGGCCAGTCCTTGGAGAAGAACATCATTCCTGGAAGGGTGGAGGGTCAGCACAAGAGAGAAGGACCCTGCATGAGGTCAAGTGAAACAGTGACTGTGGTAATTTGATCAGGTTCATGAGAGATAGTGAAGCTGGCTCAGGATAGCCAACTTCAAGGTTAGGGCAAGGTTCAGAGCCCTTGTTCACAGGGTTATTGTTGTTGTTGTTGTGTGCCATTGAGTTGTTTGCGACTCATAGCGACCTTATGTACAATAGCCCTAAACCCTGCTCTATCCTGTGCCAATTGCACTGCCTCTGACACACCCATCCCAATTACCCCAGTCACTGAATCAATCCACCTCATAGAGGGCCTTCCTCTCCTGCGCTGTCCCTCCACCCTCCCAAGCATGATGTCCCACTCCAAGGACCTGTCTCTCCTTACAACACGTACAAAGTATGTCAGACGAAGCCCCAGAATCCTTGCCTCCAAGGAGGAGCCTAGTTTAACCCTCTCCAGGATGAATCTGTTTATTTTCTTGGTAGTCCATGATACCCTCAATACTCTTCTCCAGCACCACAGCTCAAAGGCATCAATTCTCCTTCTATCCTCCCTACTCATTGTACAACTCTCTGATGATAACAAGTGATAGCAAAGACCATGGTCTGTATCAGGCGCACCTTAGTCTCCAGAGAGACACTGTTGCTCTTGAGTACTTTGGAGAGGTCCCTAATAGCAGACTTTCCCATCGCAATATATTTTTTTTATTTCCTGGCTGCTGGTACAGGGTAGCTATGGCTTATTATAGGCTTAATGGACATAAAAACAGGATGAGACAGTACCTGTAAGGCAAGCCTTCTAGCATGAGATTTGGGACTGGAAAGTAGTAATGGAAATGTTGATCAGAACAGATGAGTGATGAACAGAGTTGTCTGTTGGAATTAGACACCTTCTGTGAAAGTCAAGCATCCCCAGGGGTGGTACGCAGAGGACTTTGGAGTGAGACGAAGTAGAGACACAGTGACAGTGTGGCAGCTGGCATGTGGCGACCCTCAGTGGACTACCTGCAGGCACCCTGTGTCCTCCAAGTAAACTGACTTATTGTCATGATGCCTGGTTTATAAAAACTACAACTTGCCTTAGAGGTGTCCTGTCTTCTGTGTCCTGGTTGTGCCAGAATCACAGGCAGGGGTGTCGATAAATAAATGTGAGAAGATTGGATGGTCATAGTACAGTTGATAGCACGGGTTCCACTCACAGCATTCTCCCCGTTTTGGTAGCTGTAAACAGTCAAACACGAGAGCCAGGCTGATGAAAATGCGCTGATGTGGAGACAGCAGCCGTGACAGGTTTTCTGCTGTACATAAGTAAAACTCACGTGCAAGTTAATATGACACATCTGCAAGTACGTATGTTTCGCTTTCTTTGCACGTTATTTGTTGTGGTTCTGTACCGTTGACCACAACGCCTAGCGGTGCTCTGTACATCTGAGCCCTCCACTATCTGAATCATGTCACAGTAATTAGACTTAAATATTCTGCACTTGCCTTTTCTATGAAGATGGTGCCAAAAGTGAAGAAGGAAGCCAATGCCCGTCCCAAAACTGAAGCCAAAGCAAAGGCATTAAAGGCCAAGAAGGCGTCCTGAAGGCATCCATGGCCAAAAAAAAGGAAAAAAAGATCCGCACATCACCCACCTTCTGGCTGCCTAAGACACTGAGACTCCAAAGGCAGCCCACATACCCCCGGAAGAGCGCCCCCAGGAGAAACAAGCTTGACCACTATGCCATCATCAAATTTCCCCTGACCACTGAGTCAGCCATGAAGAAGATAGAAGATAACAACACACTTGTGTTCATTGTGGATGTCAAGGCCAACAAGCACCAAATTAAACAAGCTGTAAAGAAGCTCCATGACATTGATGTGGCTAAGGTCAACACTTTGATCAGGCCTGATGGAGAAAAGAAGACCTATGTTCAACTAGCTCCTGACTATGATGCTTTGGATGTTGCCAACAAAATTGGGATCATCTAAATTGAGTCCAGCGGGCTAATTTTAAATACAAATTTTTCTCAAAAAAATAAGAATTCTGCACCTGACATTTTTGCACTGCTGAGCACTTCTTTCTGGTCCAGTGCTCCTGTGTGTCCACCCCATCTTCTTTTATTGCTGCCCGGATCCTCCCAGGTTTTACACAGAGCATCTCTCAGTATTGCAAGTCCAGGCTCATTTTTGTTTTCTTCGTTCTTTCAGCCTGAGAAATGCTGAGCAAGCTCTTCCCTTTTTATTCTCTGGCTCCAGCTCGTTGCCCATTTTGTTATAATATTTTGCTTTGTCTTCTCGGGCTGTCCTTGGAAATCTTCTCTTCAGCCATTGAGATAGATATGCAGAGAAAGGTCATTCAGAGGGAACAGCTCTGTGGAATCTGGAGACAGAAGAGCATCTAAATATAAGAGACCCGAGTGTCTGAAGCAGATCAAGTAAGAAAACAGACTAGAGAGCTTCAAGCAAAAATACTCACGCCATAGATGCTTGTGTAGGTCAGAGTCCCGTCTTGGTTGGGATACATCAGTATCAGTTTACTGATACATCAGTAAACGCTTGCTGTATAACACATTACTTCCTACAATTTGAAGTTAAACACAAAATCATCTCCATAACAGTTTTGAGACTCAGGGAGTCAGTCGCATCTTAGCTGGATGATTACAGTTTAAGATCTCTCATAAGACCAGGTGTTCGTTACCGGGCCCTGCAGCCTTCAGAAGACTAGACTGAAGGAAAGGACCCTCTACCAGGATGACTCCCTCACCTGGCTCTTGGCAGGAAGCCTTGGTTCCCGGCCACGTGAACGCCTTGAGCAACCTTCAGACTTGGCAGCTGGCTTCTCCCAGAGTAAGAGACCCTGGACAAAGCAAGGGGCCCTCGACAGTGCCTCTGCGGCCGCCTCTGAGACAGCTCACATCTTCACGTCTGCCATGTGCCATCTGAGTCACAGATTTATCTGTGAAACGTTAATCTGTGGATGTATCTTTAAACTATTACAAAAAAGGCAGGCTAAATGTTCTCTGGGGAGGCTATCAAGACCAGGGGCAGCAAAAGAAACTCAATACTTTATAATTTATTGAGACTAATATGCCTGGCTGTCCAGTTAGTGTGGCTTTGGTTTGACTTGATGACTACAACTGAGTTAAGCCACATTTTAAAAATAGGCTGCTTTTTGAGCCCCAACTCCTCTTTCCCCCCTGTCACAGCATCCCCCTGATCCTTTCAGACGCCTTGGTGTTCCGTGTAATGTGGACCCCGCACTTCTATGAGTCTAGACCTCCAGGTCTCCCTTGGTGCTGCAGTGCACAGGCCTGCACTAGAGACTTCAGGTTCAGCCACGGTTCAACCACACACATCACCTTAGTTTCATTTCTTTACTGCCTTCGCTGCCGAGGCATGATGTTAAATAACCAAAGCATCAGAGTTAAGGAGGAAAAATATTGACTCTCCCAGTGCTATGTCTATGTGTCCCCAAACAACAATTGGACATCTTTTGTTTGTTTGCTTTTCCCCCCTCCATAGTATTATTTACTCCTTCCCTTTAAGAAAGAACTGCTTGTTTTTTCTTGCATTTAAGTAATAATGTGTAAGGGGGCTTATTCATTTGCATTTCTTTTCAGACTCCTAGAAGCAGTGAGTATAATTCGAAACAGATGCATATGTGTCTTTAGCTACGTAAAATTTAAGACAGAATTTTAGCTTTTACTGGAATAATGGAGATATTCCATTATTCCATTTTGGAGGACTTCATGTATTTACTATGATATGTGAGACTGAAAATCACCTCCTAATGCATTGAAAGATTTTCAATATATTTAAAGTTTCAAAGGTTATTTTCTAATGTACTTAAAAGTTTCAATCCCCAGTGCAAATTCAGATTAGCATAGAATTAATTCCGTTTCTTGCATAAGTGTCTTCTCAAAAATGTCTTTTCAGGAGCAAAATTTAGAAAGTACGTGGGCCATTCTGCACATGTCACGAATGTCCGCTGGTCCCATGACTTCCAATGGGTGCTGAGCACAGGAGGGGCTGACCACTCAGTTTTCCAGTGGAGATTTATCCCAGAAGGTGTCACCAACAGCATGCTGGAAACCACACCCCAAGGTAAAACCAACAACAGTTTCCACATCTGTTTATTTACGGAGCTCTGGTCCCACAGGCCGTGGGTTGCTGTACTGCCAACCCACAGGCAGTCGGTTCAAATCCACCAGCTGCCCTGGAGGAGAAGGATGGACAGTCTCTTCCTGGTGGTTTATATCCCCGAAAAACCTATAGAAGGGTCAGCTACATGTCTGTTCTGACTCAAAAGGAGTGAGCTTTCATATTTTAGTAAAAATTTCAAAGAATGCTGTGACATCTATCCTGAAGGTAAAGAGTTAAAGCAATTTAAAAAAAAATTATAAACTCAACATGAGTGACAGGAGGGAGAGGGAAGGTATTTTAAAAACCAAAAAGGAAAATTTCTTGCAATGGGTGTGGGTCAGCTAGATAATTTTCTTCAAAAAGCTTTGCTTATACGCAGTGCAAATTGAAGCTGTAAGGTTTACATGAAGGATATCTTTGAAGATAAGCTGAAAACATATATTTCCGTTTTCTTAGGATAATGGTAAGGTTAGGGGCTGCAGGTTGGTTGGTTGGGCTTTAGGGTAACTTGGAGTGGCTGTGGCCTTCAGAATGGCCTCCAAAACCAGTCTACAGTTAAGACTGGTTCAGAGTACCTGTCAGTATAGCCTTGTGACGTCAGTAGGAATAATCAGGTGACACAATTTTTAAAATGTTAAGTGCCGTCAAGTCGTAGACGACTCATAGCAATCCTATGAACAAAAGACCTGAGCACTGTTCATAGAGTTTCCAGAGGCAAGCCATTTCAGAAGTGGATGCCACTCCTGCTTCCAAGCTTGTTTTAGTCGGGAAGTTCCACCAAACACCGTCCACCATGGGTAACCGTTATCACATTTGGCACATCAGTGTCACAGTGTGACACATCACAGCAACCATGAGTTACCTCCATACAGCAATGCACAGACCAGTGCTATACCACGTAGAAAAAATTTTTTAAATATATATTTTTTTGCACACCCATGTTTATTGCGGCTCTGTTCACAATAGCAAGGAGTTGGAAACAACCCAGGTGCCCATCAACAAAAGAATGGCTAGAGAAGCTGTGGTATATTCACACAGTGGAATACTACGCTGCATTGAAAAACAAGGAACTCATGCAATATTATTCTAAATGGGTGAGCCTGGAGGACATTATGCTGAGTGAAATATCTCAGATACAAAAGGACAAATATTACATGGTGCCACTGTTGTAAAATGGGACTGATATCAGGATTGGGGTAAGACTGAGAAAAACTGGATAAATTGTGTATACTGCACTGAAACAGATGAGGGAGTGAATAATTTAAAAGTGATGTATGATAGGGTATTATGGTTATCACAAGAGTCCACAATTAAGGTTGTCTAGTGGAATGTACTTGGGGCGGTGGGAGGGGTGTGGGGGGATTGTGTACCAGGGAAGGAGTGTTTCTTTTACTTTTGAAAGAGAGGAGTGAACTGGTGGGGGGGGGGGTGGGCGGGTAGAGAAGTGCAGCGATGAATAAATGGAAATCCAAAATCTCTGTAAATGCTCATTATAATTATTAAAAATATATATAATATTTTTATCGGGAGGAATTCTGTAGAAATTTTACCACTGGCAAATCCTAGCACTGGATGTACATGCTAAGAGCGAAAGTGGACCTTTACTGAAAGAAATCTTGGGGCTTCCTTTTACTCCCATCTTCCTTAAGTAAAAACCTGATCTTTTTCTTTTTTCAAAGCAAAGGCTAAAACCCAGGGATCCACCATCTAGTAGAAGTGTGGACATGAGTTCCCTGCAGGAGTTGACTTTGAATGTCCCTTGGAGGAGAGAGAAGGTTAGGCAGGGCTCCATTTAAAAAACCAAAGGAAGATCTTTTAAGAATCTATATTAAATGAAAATATTGAATGTAGTAGTTATTTAATGGTGTAGTTACCTTTACTTTGATAGGTCAGAAGGAAGACAACACCTCAAAGAATCGGGGTAACTGTTTCTTCGAGTCTCAGATGTTTTGCTTTTTTTTCCTGTGGGTTGGGTTTCTGCAGAAGGTGGCACTGATTCGTACAGCGAAGAATCGGACTCGGACGTATCCGATGTGCCAGAGTTGGACTCCGATATTGAGCAAGAAACCCAAATCAGTTACGATCGCCAGGTGAGTGAGCAGGGAGCAGCTCAAGCACCCTGCACCCAAGGTGCCTCGTCAGATTCGAACATGGTGCTAGAAATGGCCGACAACAAAAATAAGGACAGCTGCCTGGCCCTTGCCTATAGATCCAGGTTAAGAAGGAATCGTTAGGGAGCTCTGGTGGCCTAGTGGCAGGAAGCTGCACTGCAATCCCAGAGGTGTGTGGTTCAAATCCACCAGATGCTCTGCTGGAGGAGGAGAAATCTCCTGAACCAGTCAGATCCAATTTGATGGTACACACACACACACACACACACACAAAAATTAAATAAAAAAACCAAAAGGGTCTCAAGGATGAGCCCATGCTGTTCAGGGTTTTCTGCCTCCCAAGCACCTACAGCTTTCGAATTTATTTATTTTTGTTTTTATTCTCTTGCAGACACAATTGCAGGTAAGCAACAGAATTTTTCGTTTTCTTTGCACAGAACCAGCCTGTGCTTGCTTTAAAGGGTAGGTAGCCTTTGCGGCAGGCAGGCAGCAGGCGTGGTAAGCTGTTTGTGTGTAAGCTGTGGACCTGGTTTCCATTAGAACTCCTGATGACACTCCTCTCCACTTAATTAAAGCCAAAGCCTGAATAGGAGAGTTCATTATCTCTCCAATCAGAATCACGTCCAATAGAAAAGCTGGCTAATTACTTCCAGAGTGAGCCGTATGTGTATTTTTCTGTTAACAAGTAGATGTTTTAGCAATAAACAGTGAGAGTGAGGGCACAGAGCACTCTTTGAGGGGAGCCCTTCTGCTGACCCCTCCCCTCAACCCTGTCACTCTTAGGGGTGACTCATAGCCGACTCAACTGCTGGAGGGTCAGTTGTGAGTCAATTCCACATCAGTGACAAGAAGTAGTCTTTTTTTTTTTTTACAAGAAGTCTTTATGTAAGCACCGAGTTTACCACTTTTCATGGTTTTCCAAATACTGAATCAATCAGTGGTGATTTGGGCTGGTCAAAAAAGTAACCCTAGCTGGCCCAGTCCCACATCAGTGATGATAAACTCAAATATCAGCACCGACTTTACCACTTTTCATGAATCCTCCCCGCTCCCCCCACCCCCCCTCAGTCCAAATCACCACTCATGGATTCGGTGTTTGGAAAACCAGATCAGAACCAAGATAGAGTCCCTTTGATGGTTTGGGTCATCTCTGACATTACATCAACTTGACTATGTACAATTACAGTTAATTAAATGCAGCACCAATTCTAGAACAATTACAGCAATTTATAAAGTCCACATTTTATAAACATCAAATTCATCAAGAGATTTTTTTTTCCCTTACCTTGTGTGACCCTGTGATGAAGGAAAGGGGAAAGATCCAGTATGAAAAACAATGTATACAAACTTGATGAATTTTATGAGTAAACCAGTATAAAATAAAAAGAGAGAGGGAAGGGAAAAGAGATATTTTTGCCTTAGGAAAAAATGACAGTTTTAAAAATGTTGTTTCTTTAGTATTTACCAGCAACTTAATAATGTATTTGCCAGAAATAAATTGCCTGAGAAACGTAGTAGTAAGTTAAAGTAAGAAGAAAGTGATTATACTTTCTATTGATTTGAAAGATGTTTTACTTAGAAAAAAAGACTGAAACAGACCTGGTGCCTTAAATTGACAAAAACCCTATTCAGAGTCTTGTAGAATGTCTAAAATGCTGATGCTTTTAAAACCCGAGGGGAGAAAGTCTCACTTGAGTGTTTTCTTCTTTTGTGCCTGAAGGTTTACAAAGAAGATCTACCTCAGCTCAAGCAGCAAAGTAAAGAGAAAAACCACGCGGTGCCCTTCCTCAAGCGAGAGAAAGCTCCTGAGGACAGCTTGAAGCTGCAGTTCATTCACGGGTGGGCGTCCTGGCCCCTGTGTCAGCGAGCCTGTCACCAGCCCCTGAGCAGGCTCAGGCTGTGCCCTGCCCCCTGCCTCGGCCCTGCCCCTCCGGGGGCGGCCTCTTCTCTCCAGGGGACCCTTACCTGGACAGGCGTTTTAACCACGCTCCTCTGTCCAATGTCCCCCATTTCTGTTCTGTGACCATCACTATGTCTCTAGACCTTTCATACTTGTTATACTTTCCTGATCTCTGTGTTACAGGTGCTTCCTAATCTTCCATTTCTTTTTTCCTCCCATCTCTCCCTCCTCTGGCCTCTCACCCTGGCCCCCATTCTGTTCTCCTTGAGGTTTCATAGGTAATGCAGCACTCTGCTAGCCAGAAGGTTAGCAGTTTGAATCCCCCGGCTGCTCCATGGGAGAATGACAGTCTCCTCCCATGTAGATTTCTGGCCTCAGAAAACTGATAGAGGGTCCCGTGACTAGGCACCAGATGGACAGCTGTAGGTCACTGGGGTCATGTTTGCATCATGTTTTGCTTGTATGTAGTTACGTATCGTTGAGTCAGAGCTGACCCGTAGCTGTCCCTCCAGCATGTTTTGTAGAGGCAGTTAATCTCACGGGAGGAGATTGCCCACCCTTCTCCTGTGGAGCAGCTGGTGGATTCGAACCACTTACCATTGTTATTGATGTGCAGCTTCTTGCCACTAGGCCACCAGTGCTCCCTCTTTGCTTGCATATGACCTAAAAGAATTTTTAGTTCTGCGAAAGTATATGTATTCTCACACGTACTAAGCTGACATCTAAAATGTTGTCATCTTAAATTTACACTTTTGTAAAGAATTTAATATCTGTTGTTGTTATGTGCTGTTGCATCAGAACCAAGACACAGCTGACCCTCCAGTGGGTTTTCAGAGGCAGTAAATCACACAAGAGGAAACTGCCCATCTTTCTCCCACAGTGCCACTGGTGGATTCGAACTGCTCACCTTTGGGTTGGCAGCACCACTAAGCCACCAGAGCTCCTTATACTGAGTTGAAATGTTGCTAGAGGAGTTAAGATGTTTCTAGAACTTTCATTTGTTTTTGTTTTTTTAAATGTAGCAGTAAGAAAATGTAAATTATCTATATGGCTCAACAAGGGGGCTCTAGAGGCCTAGTGGTAAGAAGGTGCGTTGCAATCCCAAAGGCATGGGTTTGAATCCACCAGCGGCTCTGAGGGAGACACGTGGGCACTCCCCCTCTGTGCAATGAACTGCCTCTGAAAACCCACTGGAGGGTCAGCTATGAGTTGATTCCAGCTCAGCAGCACACAGTGACATCGACCAGTGTAGCTACCAAGGCGCCCTGTTGGCGTGGTGCATTATGTGTTGTCCAGAAGGTCAGCAGTTCAAATCCACCAGCCACTCAGCAGGACAAAGACTATCAGTCTCCTCCTGTAACGATTTATGGTCCAAGAGACACAATGGACGGTTGCTCTGAGTCGAAAACCACGGAGCAACCGTGCGTTTGGGTTTGACTCCCGTTTTCATTTTGATACAGACTCTAAAAATGATTTAGAGCTGTGTCCGTTGACAAGTCAGTGATGTTAAAGGCAGAACATTGGAGAGCACCTGACTTAGCAAGGATCCCTTATTCCATGGTTAGAGTTGTTCACCTTCCACGTCTGCTCTTGAGTTTTGACGTTGTCCTTGGTCTTAGAGGCTTGGAAGGTCCCACACCCCAGGATCATATGCCGTAGTCTGATTCCAGCTGAGCTAAGGGGCAGAAGGAACAAAAACACTGCACCTCCTTATAGGGGCCCTCTCACACTGTCCACTGCTTTTATACTTGGAAAGAATGGCTCTGGGAACGGATTCTATTGTCAGTACCTTTGAGTCCTTTAGTCAGCACACGGCCTGTGAGACGCTTCAGAGCCTCTTCGCAGATCCCTGGCCCACGTGAGAGTTCAGCCCCCTGTTCCTCACCTGCCGTGGGTCCCGTCCACGTCAGTGTGCTGGCTGACCCGCTGGCGGCTCCTGCCCCACGCCCTTGCCCTTGCCCTTGGCCCTAACTGCTGTCTCTTGGGCCTGTACTCCAGGTACAGAGGCTATGACTGTAGGAACAATCTGTTCTACACGCAAGCTGGAGAGGTGGTCTACCACATTGCCGCAGTGGCCGTCGTGTACAACAGGCAGCAGCACTCGCAGAGGCTGTACCTGGGCCACGACGACGACATCCTCAGCCTGGCCATCCACCCAGTGAAGGACTACGTGGCCACGGGGCAGGTGGGTAACGCCCTGCCAGACCTGGGTCAAAGGGAATGTCATCTTGTTTGTTTTGTGGGTTTTTTAAAGAAATTTTTATTATTTTTGTGTGTGTGTGTGTGTACCATCAAATCTGATCTGACTGGCACAGGAGGAGATTGCTCCTCCTTCTCCAGCAGAGCGTCTGGTGGATTCGAACTGCCTACCTCAGGGATTGCAGTGCAACTTCATGCCACTCGGCCATCAGAGCTCCCCTGAGAATGTCATCTTGAATCCTGTCTACACATTAGAAACACAAGATACTTAGTACAAAGTTGAAGGATGTTGGAAGCAGAAATGTCAGTGAATGATGGGCTGTTTTTTGATGATGGCAGTGGTGACTATGCCACATGACACCTGGCTAATGTCTATTTCATAAACTTTTCCTAAAAAGAAAACCAAGAGACCATTTCTTTAAATTCACCCAGGAGCAGATCCTGGACTCTACGTTGTAGCTGGCGGATGGCAAACCCTTGCCAGCCCAATGGGCACTTGGGGTGACCTGAGTGTCTATAGAACAGTCTAGAATTTGGCCAGAGTCTGCCCAGGTAGGCATGTGACTCTGGGCCCCACTGGCCTACTGAAAAGGGAGTTGTGCTCACAACCTAAAGACAGGCAGGCAGCCAGCTTGCATCTACCAGCTGCTATGATGGGCAGTCTCCTCCCAGGCCATTTACAGCCTCTGAAAACCAACCAGACAGCGATGAGGTGGGTTCCCCCCACCCCTATTTTAGAACCATTATATTCACCCGGGGTTGTTGGTGGGTTTTAAAATTTTATTTATGTTGTTGTTGTGATGTGTCGTCGAGTCGCTTGCAACTTATAGCGACCCTATGTACAAGAGCCCAAAAACCTGCTCTATCTTTTGCCAATCTTGCCATCTCCGACACACTCATTCCCACCACCCCAATCACAGAATCGATCCGTCTCATCGAGGGTCTTCTTCTCCTGAACCGTCCCTCCGCTCTTCCAAACATGAGACCACTTTTCTATTATGTTTTCTCCTTAGTGTTGAGAATTAGTGTGATAGTAAGCTTCTTGTTATTTTGTTGTTCTGCCAAGTCAGAACGAACTCATAGCTGACCCTCCAGTGGGTTTTCAGAGGCAGGTAAATCGCACAGGAGGAGATTGCCCATCCTTCTCCAGAGATGCAGCTGGTGGATTTGAACCCCTTGCCTTTGGGATTTCAGTGCAGCTTCTTAAGAGTAGGCCACCAGAACTCCCTGGAGTACCAGAAGGCTGTACATCCCACTGTAAGTAAGATAACTAGCCATGCACTGGCCTTTCCCGAGGGTCAGACCCTCCTGCCGTGGGTGAGAACATCAAAACACAGACAGGAATTCTCTGGAGGGTCTAGGACAACAGTGGAGGTGGTTCCTTTCCTGAGAGGTGGAATGTGGGGTGGAATAGACTAGGCAGAGAAAGGAAGGTTAGAAAAGCTTGACAAACTTTAAGCATAATGGTATTTAACTCTCCTTCACGGGAAGCCACAGGCCCAGTCAGGCTCTGTTGGCCCCCAGCGTGACGCCTGGTACAAAGCCACGTAAGAGGCTCTGTTTCTCGTCTGGAGATACTGGGGTTGGACTGGATGGCTTCTGAGAGCTCCTCCCAGGCTCCGAATCCCATGCTGCTTTCTATCTGAGCAGCGCTTAATTGTAGACCACATTCTTAAGGCCAGCTGAGAGTAGTTACTTCACTCATCCTGTTGTTCCAGGTTGGGCGAGACGCTGCCATTCATGTGTGGGACACACAGACTCTGAAGTGTCTGTCCTTGTTGAAGGGACAGCATCAGAGGGGAGTGTGCGCGCTCGATTTTTCAGGTAAGCTACAGCCTTTCACGACAGTCGTTGACGGAGCTTTCCATGTTTAGTTCAAACGTCTGGTTTTGGGGTTGTTTCTGTTTTGTTTTGTTTTGTTTTAGCATCCTTGTTGTCATTGTTCTGAGTCAATTATGACTCATAGTGACCCTAAGAATGACCCATCAAAACCTTACCCTCTGCTGCACCATCCTCACCGTCTCTGCCACGCCCAAGTCCATTGTCACGGTCACTGGGTCAGCCTGTCTCGTGAAGTCTCCTTCACTCACTCTCTACTTTTCCCAGTATGATTGATGCCTGCGTCCAAGGTCTGACAACACACCCGAACTGTGTACTGAAGTCTCACCTTCCTCACCTTCAAGGAGCACCAGGCCTTTGCTTCCTCCATGACCAATTGGTTTGCGCTTCTCACGGTCCATGGTATATAGTCAGTGCTCTCCACCGGCACCACAAATCAAAGACATCAGTGCGTCCATCTTTCCTTACTCACTGTCCAACCTTCACATGCATGTGAAGCAGTTGAAAATATCCTAGCGGGGGTCAGGTATGCTAATGTCTCTAGGCTGACATCTTTATTCTTTAGAACTTCAGAAGGTCCTGAAAGGCAGATTTGCCTAACGTAATACAGCTTCTCATCTCTTGACTGCTACCGTGGGTATGGGTTGTGCATCTGTAAAAAAATGAAATCCTTGCTAACTTGGATCTTTTCTCTCTGTTGTTCCAGCCTCTTGATCCAGTGGTGAGAATGTTTCTTTTCTTAATACTGTGAGGTAACCCATCTTGAAGGTGGTAGGTGGGGTTTTTTTGTGGTTTTTATCTTCTTCACCAAGAACCTCAAGTTGTTTTTCACTTTCTGCAAGGTATGTTGTACCATCTGTATAATCTAGGTTGTTGATGAGGCTTTCTTTAATTAGATGTCACATTTGTCTTCAGCTTCTTGAATGATTTGCTCAACATACAGTTTGAATAGGTGTGGAGAAAGAATACTACCCTCATCTACACATTTCCTAGGTTTAAATCAGTCAGTGTTCCCTTCTGCTCCTCAGACAGCTTTTTGTTCTCTCTATGGGTTTCACATGAGCACAATTTAGTGTTCTGGGGTTCTCATTCTTCTCAATGTTACCAGATATTTATTATGATCTACCTAGTCAAATGCCTTTGCCTAGTCAATAGAGCACAAGTAAGTAAACATCTTTCTGGTAATGAGTCTCTGCTTTCCAACAGAACCCATTTGACATTATCTGTGTTCTCCTTCATTCCATCTCCTCTTGTGAATCTGTTTGAATTTCTGGTAGTTCCCTGCCAACGTGCTCCTCCTGCTGTTTTAGAATGATCTTCAGCAAGAGTTTACTTGGGTATAATTGCGCTGCAATCCCAAAGGCACGCAGTTCGAGGCCACCAGCTGCTCCACGGGAGAAGGATGGAAGTCTCCTCCTGTGCGATGGCCTCTGAATATCGGCCAGAGGGTCAGCTATGGGTTGATTTGGACTCTACACAACAACAGTGTCATTTTTCTCTCAACAGTGATATTGTTCTCTAATTTCCATGGTCTTTTGGATTTTTTTTTCTTCACTGTATCTACCCTCAGGTGGTTGGCCATGTCTTCCAAGATTTCTTGGCATAGACCAGTGAGCACATCTAGGGCTGCATCTGTTAACTGAAACACCTCAGTTGGCATTGACTCCAGTCAACTCCTGGAGTCCTATTTTATTGCCAATGCATTCAGTGCAGTTTGGACTTCTTTCTCAGTACCAGTGGCTCTTGATCATATATATATACACACACACACTACATCCTGAAATGATTCTGAGTAAAAAAATTCTGGGCCAGAAAAATTCTGGACTCTTTTTTTCCCCATAGAATCCTTGCGTATTGCAACTCAAGGCTTGAATATTTTTTCCATCTCTTTCAGAAATGCTGACTCTGTTCTTCCCTTTTAGCTTTCAACCTCCAGGTCTTTGTGCATTTCCTTATCCCACTCTGATTTGTCTTCTCAAGCTGCCGTTTGAAATCTCTTTCTGCTTGGCTCCCTTTCTGTGGAACCAACTATCGATCACTCGTAAGAAAAATGAAGACAAGTCCACAAGAACCAAAACACAACCTGGAGTTTATTCTAGATCACACATGATTGTAAAATCTCCATCTCAAGAATAGATTTGATGAACTGACCACTAGCCTCCAAAGACCAGATGCATTGTAGATGACATCAAGGCCATCAGAGATGAAAATATAAATGGTCATGGGGAAGACACTCATTGTTCTCAAGTCATAGTAGATTCATGATGGATCCTTCACCGTGTCCGAGGCTGTAAATCCCGTGCGAGAGTGCCCTTCTTTTTCCCCGAGGACCCAGTCAGTGGTGGATTTGAACCATCAGCAAGGTGTGGACTGTGGTCTAACAGTGCAAGGATTATTATTACTCACTAAGGAGTAATAATCCTTAAAAATGAAAATGAAGAATAAAACGACCACAGTGGATGTCAAAAGGAACCATGAAACTTGGTCTTGAGCGTAAGACATCCTCACGAGTTGAGTTCTATTTTTAAATCCGTGGCCACTTGACCTTTCAGCTATACCATCTTAGACTGGAATTAGATATCTGAGAACTGAACCAAAAAAAGATTACGTCTTTATAGTATACCCGGTCTTAGCTTTCTAAACTTGTTTAGTGGTGCTGTAACAGAAAGACAGAGCTCTGGTGGCTTATTGGGTAAGGCATTGCACTGCTAACCCAAAAGTATGTAGTTCAAACCCACCAGCAGCACCATAGGAGAAAGCTGGGCAATCTCTTCCTCTGTGGTTTATGGCCTCTATAAAACCCACTGGCAAGTCAGCTATGGGTCGGTTCCCCCTCCCCGGCAATGACTTCAGCTTTGATTCACAAGAAAAGAGAAGTGGGGCTCTGGTGGCCTAGTCCTGGGGACTTGCACTGCGAGCCCAAAGGTCATGGGTCTCTGGCAGTTAGAACCTGCCGCTGGTTCTAACGCACAAGCAGCTGTGCTGGAGAAGGATATGGGGCCGCGATCCCCTGGGGCTGTACAGGCCTGGACACTCAGTGGAGGGTCAGCTGTGATCCAGAGAGAGAGGGGGGAGAGAGAGGAGGAGAAAGAGAGAGGGAGGGGGAGAGAGAGACAGAGGGAGGGAGAGAGAAAGAGAGATGGGGGGAGACAGAGAGAGGGAGAGGAAGAGAGGTGGGGAGGGATGGGTCGGGGGGAGAGAGAGAGAGAACAGAAATCACGTGATTGGGTAGTTTTAAGAAACAGTCCATTTATTGTCTTAGGAAGGCGTCCTCTCTCCTCAGCGCTAGAGAAAGGTCCTTGACTCTCTGCTCCTGCTCCGAGGCCCTCTTCATGTGACTTGTCACCACTCCCTGTCTGCTGCGTTCCTTGTTCATATAGCTCAGAAGAGATTGATGGATGACATACCCTGAGCTCATTTTGCCTCCTTGACAAAGACAACCTGTTCTCAAACGGGATCATAACCACAAGCGAAAATGAAGATTTGCAGCACCTGTTTTGGGGGGGACACACGATCCACTTTATAACCCCCCCCCCATCTTTGCCTTTCCCATTTCTCTCCCAGTCATTACCCAGAGCTCACACCGTGGTGGTGTGCATTTTTCCGATAGGTTTCAAAATCCAGAGCAGCTGTCGCTGTTGAAAGACTGGATTGCAGATACCTGGCAGTGACTCAGAACACGCATTTCAGTCTCTGAAAATAAACAGGAGCACACCGCTTCCCACTTAAAACATACAAGGGGCAGGGCGTGTGTTCTCTGACAAAGAGTCCCTTTTCAAAAAGTAGTGTTTGGAAAAATAAATTTCATACTAAAAACCTACAGTTGTGGTTTCCATCAATTAATTTAAAATCGGAAACTACAAAGCACGACAAAAAATTTAACTGATGAATATCATGTTCTTTCGGATAGAATTTATTTAAGCTAGAGTTTGAGGAAGAAAGCATGTTAAAAAGTGCTTTTAATTAGGAATTTTTAATAATCCCAGTTGTAGAAACTTGATCTATAGAAAAAAGTTCTAAAATTTCTTTTTTTTTAAATTTAGGTTGTAAGGGATATACCTTTAACTTGCTGGTCTGTCTAATACTTCTCTAAATCTGAACATTC